CCCTCCCCCCCCAATACCCAGCAGAAACTATTTTGCCCTTATTTCTAATTTTGTTGTAGAGAGAGTATAAGCAATAATAGGAAGGAACAAGGGTTTTTGCTGGTTGAGATAAGGATAGCTATACAGGGCATTGACTCACATTGATTTCCTGTGCGTGGGTGTTACCTTCTAGGTTAATTCTTTTTGATCTAACCTCTTCTCTAGTACCTGTTCCCCTTTTCCTATTGGCCTCAGTTGCTTTAAGTTATCTGGTTTAGTTTCTCTGCGTTAAGGGCAACAAATACTAGCTAGTTTTTTAGGTGTCTTACCTATCCTCACCCCTCCCTTGTGTGCTCTCGCTTTTATCATGTGCTCATAGTCCAATCCCCTTGTTGTGTTTGCCCTTGATCTAATGTCCACATATGAGGGAGAACATACGATTTTTGGTTTTTTGAGCCAGGCTAACCTCACTCAGAATGATGTTCTCCAATTCCATCCATTTACCAGCGAATGATAACATTTCTTTCTTCTTCATGGCTGCATAAAATTCCATTGTGTATAGATACCACATTTTCTTAATCCATTCGTCAGTGCTGGGGCGTCACAGATGTTCTTAAGGCCTTTTCCAGGTCCAATAAAAAGTACCTAGTTCCCTTTTATCTTTGTGAATCTTTTTAGCAAGTGCCCCCTTATATACTTTTTCTTCATTTCTTCCCTGGCCAGGCTTCAAATTTTCCCAGTCTTTCCCCTCTGCTTCTTTTTTGATCCTGAGTCTCACTATAAATCTGACTAAAAGTGGCTGATAAAACCCATGCTGCAGCTGAATGCTTTGTCATCTGCAATCTTGCCTTTTCATAAAGTCATGGGGCCTGGGCACAGTGTGGCCAGGTTCTTTATCACAGTGTAGTGAGGGCAGTCTTCAAGTCTAATTTCCAGTAGGATCTCCAATTCCATCTGAAACAAGTTCCACAGTCCCTTCATCTTCTGAGCTCTCACCAGAGTCACTCAGAACACTCCACTTAAAGTGTTTTTCTAGGGGCTGCTCCTCCAAACTCTTCCAACTTCCCTTCATCACTCAATTCCAAATCTGTCCCCACATTTTCAGGTACAGTAACAACCTATTCCTCAGTACCAATTTTCTTCATTAGTCTGTTTTCTGTTACTGTAACAAAATATCTGAGGCTGAGTACTTTATCAAGGATGGTACTTGGCCCTGGTGAAGCCTTCATAGTGGATGACATACCTGTTAGTTTTCTATTGCTGTGATAAATCTGAGAGAGACAAAGGAGAATTTAAAAGGATTTATTTTGGCTCATGGCCATTTGCATATGTGTTCGCATATGGCGATGCCTTCTGTAATGAGGCCATCACAGGATTTGAGAAGATGACAGTACCAGGCTACTGAACCTCCAAAATAATGAGCTAAATGAACCTCTTTTCTTTATAAAGTCCCCAGCCTCACATATTTTGTTATAGTAACAAAATGGACCAAGACACCACTCATACAGAGTTGGGTCGTGATTGTCACTTGACAATACTATTTCTGACTGGCTGTTTGCTTAGGCAGTAGAATCACTGATCTACCTTTCCCCTCCTAAACAAGGGCAAATGGAGGGCAGCAGTGGAGTAGCCTGAGTCAGCCTTTAGTCCTGCCCTTGGCATGGCTGGGATGTTTGCATTTTCTTTTATGTATTTATGTATGTATTTATTATTTATGGTGGTATTGGGGTTTGAACTCAGGGTCTCACACTTGCAAGGCATGTACTCTGTCACTTGAGCTACTCCACCAACCCTCTTTTGTGTTGGTTATTTTTGAGATAGGGCCTTGCTTTTATGCCTAGGCTCGTCTGAACTTGCCTGGACTGAGGTCCTCCTCCTTATGCTTCCCATGCAGCTGTAATGACAGGCATATACCACCTTTCTATTTGTTGAGATGGGGTCTCACTGTATACCTGGGCTGGCCCTCAACCACAATCCTTCTGATCTCTGCCTCATGCGTAGCTGGAATGACAGTTGTGAACCATCTTGCTTGACCGAATGTCTCCATTTTCTGTGTATCAAGTGGTTACTGTGAAGGGAGCTAGCTGCCTTGAGCCTTTCTTTCTAGCAATAACTGGACATGGGGGAGAATAGATGAAATAAAGTAGTGGGAGGAGATTAAATAGCATTTAAGCCCCCAGCCAATGGCCTGGCAGTGTGGAGGCCACTGTCAGACTTCCTGAATAACTCACTTGTAGAAGGAGCAACTTTATGTAGGAAGAATGAGACAGCAACTCTTTTTTTTTTTTTAAAGGAACTGTTACAGCCCAAGACTGTCTTTATTTTTTTTATTGTTTTATTATTCATATGTGCATACAAGGCTTGGGTCATTTCTCTCCCCTGCCCCCACCCCCTCCCTTACCACCCACTCCACCCCTTCCCTCTCCCCCCAATACCCAGCAGAAACTATTTTGCCCTTATTTCTAATTTTGTTGTAGAGAGAGTATAAGCAATAATAGGAAGGAACAAGGGTTTTTGCTGGTTGAGATAAGGATAGCTATACAGGGCATTGACTCACATTGATTTCCTGTGCGTGGGTGTTACCTTCTAGGTTAATTCTTTTTGATCTAACCTTTTCTCTAGTTCCTGGTCCCCTTTTCCTATTGGCCTCAGTTGCTTTAAGGTATCTGCTTTAGTTTCTCTGCGTTAAGGGCAACAAATGCTAGCTAATTTTTTAGGTGTCTTACCTATCCTCACCCCTCCCTTGTGTGCTCTCGCTTTTATCATGTGCTCAAAGTCCAATCCCATTGTTGTGTTTGCCCTTGATCTAATGTCCACATATGAGGGAGAACATATGATTTTTGGTCTTTTGGGCCAGGCTAACCTCACTCAGAATGATGTTCTCCAATTCCATCCATTTACCAGCGAATGATAACATTTCATTCTTCTTCATGGCTGCATAAAATTCCATTGTGTATAGATACCACATTTTCTTAATCCATTCGTCAGTGGTGGGGCATCTTGGCTGTTTCCATAACTTGGCTATTGTGAATAGTGCTGCAATAAATATGGGTGTGCAGGTGCCTCTGGAGTAACCTGTGTCACAGTCTTTTGGGTATATCCCCAAGAGTGGTATTGCTGGATCAAATGGTAGATCAATGTTTAGTTTTTTAAGTAGCCTCCAAATTTTTTTCCAGATTGGTTGTACTAGTTTACATTCCCACCAACAGTGTATGAGGGTTCCTTCCCCCCCCCCCCAGCATCCTAACCAAAACACCTATTGTTGGTGGTGTTGCTAATGATGGCTATTCTAATGGGTGAGATGCAATCTTAGTGTGGTTTTAATTTGCATTTCCTTTATTGCTAGAGATGGTGAGCATTTTTTCATGTGTTTTTTGGCCATTTGAATTTCTTCTTTTGAGAAAGTTCTGTTTAGTGAGACAGCTACTCTTGACCCTGTATCTCCATCCCTCCTTTGCCCACACGAAGAAAGGCAAAGATGAAGATAGTAGGGAAGACTGTTTTCCACAGGCCTACCATTTCCCCTCTCATGAGGAAGGGGAGGGGAGACAGAAAGAGAAGAACTTGCTCCTTTCCTACATCAGGTCCTCCGGGCCCCCAGCTCAGCTAGTAATGGAGGAGGGGACAATTTTCCTTGGATATGATGTTGGTGTCTCCACTTGACGGAGTTTTTTAATATCAAGAAGTGACTGGGGAAGTTATGGAGTCTGTCCAGGGTATCATTAAGGGATCTCTACCCAGCAGGCGTGGAAGATCCACACAGCCCAGCAGAACATCATAGAAGAAAATAAAACCATCGCCTGTGTACTCCCTGTGGAGTTGAGGCTGTTCAATAAACTAGTTATATCTGATTAAGGACTTCATATTCTTAGGGCAAAAGTCGAGTCACTATGCATCTGTGTTGTGGCCTACTGAATGTATAAATTGTTAGCTGAAGAGTGGCCACATTTTTTTTTTGCAAGTCAAAAACTTGAAATGTTGAAGAGAAAAGAAATATACAGAGGTAAATTTCTGGATATAAGTATAAGAGACACAAAAAGAGGTAACTAAGAGTTGTCTTTTTCCTCTTTATCTCCCTAAGATCTAAGAGTTTCCTTTGTCTCGCAATATTACACAAAGAGATGATGGGTTTTAAATTGCAGTCTATCACAGATTTACTAACAGTGAATGGAAAAAAGTGGATGTTTAAAAACATGTTCTTAGGCTAGGCATGGAGGCTTGTGTCTGCAGTCCTAGTTACTTGGGAGGTACAGATTGGGAGGATCTGGATTTGAGACCAAAGGAGGGTGTGTGTTGAGGGGAGAGAGTCAGTGAGATTCCATCTCAACAAACAAACTAAGCATGGTGGTACACATCTGTAAACCCAGTTATACTGGAGGTATAGGTAGGTGGATCACATTCTGAGGCTGGCCCCAGTCAAAAAAGTGAGACTCCATCGAAAAATAACTAAAACAAAAAGGGCTGGGGGTATGTGGCTCAAATGGTAGCAAATGGGACATCAAGTTCAAACCCCAGTTTTCCATTCCTCCCAAAATCCCAACCCTCCCAAAGCCCCCCCAAAACAAATAAACAAACAAAAAACATATTCATAAGTGGTTTGTTATCCTTGTTCACTTGTCAACCATGTAATTCTATTAAATTATTTAGTTTTTATTACATTTGTCAGGTTACTCTTCTATTTAATTTTTTAATTAAGAGTAACTGTGCTCATGATTTTTATATAGGGTAGTGACATGGCTTCAGTTTCTTTCTCATCAGACAGAGGCTTCTTAAGTATTTATAATGCTCTTTTTTTATTCAGACAAGAATTATTTCTACTTTACATTACAAATATTCTTTTAATTGTTTTTTTAGAGCTTTTCAAGATAATCTGCACTGACAAGGGAAAATTGCCCTCAGCGATACACAGCTTGTCAGAGGAGTGCACCCACTCTTCCTTGTTGACTTCACCATAGAACCTTTTGTAGCTGACATGCCACAGTTTCATACCATCTTTAGGGTCAGGCTCCAGATTTTTTATTTTATTGTTTTCCTTCTGCATCATCTTTTTCCTTGAATATCAGTCTCCTGAAATATAAGAAGTACAAAGTGTTCTCAGTTACCAGAGCACCAGTGTGCAAAGGCATCTAAAAATATGACCCATTATCCTAATGAACTAATTATGCTTCACTTGAAAGATGGATGTATTGATGGAAACTGAACTTGTGATGAGCATGAAGATCAAAACTTACCATGACTTGTCTCACCTCTGCACTACCACCCCACTCCCAGTGCCTGGTTAAGTTGCCAAATTCTGCCCCTGTATATATCCCAGGACCTCAGAAACAATGGCAGCTCTTCTCCATCTCCTGATGAATGATGCCCAAATTCTTGTCTGGGCTCTGCCTTCTGCACTCTGCTTGGCCTCTACCCATTTCACCTTGTGTCTTCTCCTTGTTATGTACACTTTGCTGTCACCACACAGAACCTCGGCTCTTTTTGGTTTTCCTTGCATTAGTGCCTTACTCACCCTCCTCCTTTTGCCTGGCAATGACCTCTCTCCTCCCACCAGTCTCTTAATGTTCAAAGTAGAGCTTCTTATCTAAGTATGACTCCTGAAACATCCCTGGATTCCCCTCACTCCCTGAAACATCCTCTGTAGGACCTTGTTAGTGCCTTTCTTATATCATTAATTCATTCTATCAAAATGGAGGGCTTGCTATAAGGCAGATACAGGTTTAGGTACTGGGGAAATGGCACTAGACAAAAATGATGAGATTTATAGAAATGGAATTCTATGGCCATAAGCATATAATAAGTCATATGAAGATAAGTACCATGGAAAGAAAGAAATCAGGAGTGCTCTGAGAAGGTCTCTCTGATAGGCTGACACAGCCTGTCTGTCACCTTACTCTCTCAGACCTTAACTAAAGCATTGTTCTTTATATCAAAAAATGTTCTTCTTGAGCTATATTCTCTACTAGGAAATAATAGTAAAATTTAATCTTTTTTAGTAACTTAAGCTCTGATTTATACATAGGTGATAATAAATACTTATTAATTAACATAAAGAATGATTACATCAGGATTTATTTATTGAATGATATCCAGAAAAAAGAAAAAAAACTTTGAATAAAAGTTGGGGAAGAAAACATTCTGGATTTGGGATGTGGGTTATTGAGATGGTGTCCTTTGGATTTGAGGATAACTTTCTTATGTGGGACTTTTTATGTCAGAGAGGTCAAATGTCAGACAATGTGTCACGGGCTTAGTGTGTGGCTTATACAGTAATGGGATTTATGCCCCTATGTGCCTTAGGGGAGCGATCTCATTACAATGAACCTGTAACCATGCATGTTACACCTGGCCTTACACAGTTCTTATTTCATAGGTATTATTTCCCATGTCATTGCCTTTCCCCGTCTAAGAAAATTACTTTCTTAGAAATTTATTTTGAAAAGAAGTCATCCTTTTTTAAGTTTCTGGACCAGCTTTATATAATTGTCCATGTACTTTGGTTTTCAGGCTATTTACCTTGGTTGTTTTTGGTCAGGATGCTGGAGTTCTTGGTGCTGGCAGGGTATGGAGTAAAGTAGCTCACTGGGAGGCAGTGAATGCATGGATTCTTGGATCAAATCACTCATTGTCTTAGTGACACTTTTGGCTGTTGTTATTCTCCCAAACCTTTGGGGCAGGTTAGGAACATGTCTCAAGATGCTTGGTTCCATATTTCTTCCAAATCTCAGAGGCAGGTTGACATTCTCCACAGGGCCTCTTGCTTTTTTCATGGTCCTCCCGAATCTCAATGGCAGGTTAGCTGCCAAGTGTGGCATTTTGTTGGCTGTGGGTGTATTCATCTTAATGACATTTTTTGGTCTCCAATCTTTTAGTTCTTGAAAATTGATACTTCTTTCATTTTCCCCTTTTGGGGTTCCTCTAGGCTATAGTTAGAAATAGCAATTAAAATAGTTTATTATTATTATAAGCCATAGATTTAAAACCCAAATTAACTTAAATCTGGACTTTAATCTGCAGAATTGTTGAAGCTATAAACAAAGTTTGTGTTCTTATGTGCAGATTTTTAATAAATAATTTGTATTAAGCTTCTTAAAGCAATCTAGTTTCTCTGTCCCTTGACTATTGTAAGGCAACCATAAAATATTAATAAAATATAGATAGTGAGTACAGCAATATGTTCAAGCAGCAGGAACATAATGAAGTATTGAAATGAGGCAAACGTTTATTTTATTGCAGTTATTCTTTCAGCTTTTTGATTCATGTTGTTTATGAAACATTTTCTATAATTTTATATTTTGACTTTAAAGAAACTTCCCATTCCCTTCCCATGTCTTATTCCCCTGAAGCCTTTAAAAAGCCAAGTAGTAGATGGAAACAGATGCTAGCCAGGTTTGGGGGTTCAGTTGTAGGAGGCCCCATTGAATTTCTTTTTTACTCCTTCATATTCAGAGTTCCACCCTAAAAACATGTATCAGGAAACCAATTGTATTTTAATTAGAATATAAATTACATTTTTAGTGAAGAACCAATTGTTTTTGGGTTAGTATACCACAAATATGCCAACACTGTAGGATCCACTTAAAATACAGGGAATACTTAATTAGATTTAGTTTTATCAGGAAAGTTTGTCCATACAAAAGTTTTTAAATAGTTGTTTTCTGATTGTAACCTGAGTAAAATGAGTAATACCTACTAACTCCAGCAAATTTGGAAAATACATAAAAATCTAAAAATGAAAATAAAAAAAATCACTTGCAATTCTAACATCTAGGGATAATCATTTTACTTAGATTTATCACAAACATACCAGCTTGTAATGGCTAAGCAGAAAAAAATGTCATATTTGCTAATTTGCAGTTTAAGCCAATTCAAATGCCCAGCTGAAATATACCCATATCTTATTCCTACAACTACTTATTACAAATGTACACTTCTGAGAAGACTGAAAATACATTAACACACCTCCTGTTCTCTACTTGTCATTAGAGAGGCCAGGCTGTGTGCTTCTGTGTTAAGAAATACAAGTTACATCAATATACTGTCATATTGAAGTTTGACAAGAAAAAGCACAAATTTATTCCTTACTCTTTACAAAAACATTAGACTCAGGACAAATATTTACACACACATATACTAGTCATTTGATAGATTTAAAAACATACCTCAGAATATTTGTCATAATTTCCTTTGCTGTGAAGATGGGTCACCATTAATTCATCTGCACAAGAGATGTTTGATGTTAACAAGCTTGAAGTGGCTAAAGTCAATAAAATGAATCGTTTTGATGAAATAATTTCCATTTTGTCCAAATCCAATATTAACTTAATATGTGCAGCCTCAAGTCTACAAGAAGGGAATTTATGGTGTTTTTATACTGCCTAAAAACAAAAGTTTCCTGTAACAGTGAAATCATTCCCACATGTTCTAAGTACTAATATTAATTAGAGAGTGTATGACCAAAAATGCAGTAAAGAATGCGTGTCACTCATTCTGGGGGGATCATCAATGTTTGTGCTTGCAAATTCATTAACTTTGAAAATAATATCCCTCATTACGAAAGCCCTTCTAATTAGGTAATATTGGGGCAATAGTCATTAAGATTCCAAACAAACAAGATGCTTTATTTCTCTGACTTCAAACAAGAAGTATTTTGTTTTTGGTGCTTGCGTCAGTTTTTGAGGGGAGGGAAAAAAAAGAGGATTCAATACATGCTAGCTATGTTTTTTTTTTTTTTAATTCACACAAAAGAGTTAGGCATAGTATTTTCAAAATGTCAAACAAAATTTAGAATGTGAAAAGAATTATAAGTCATAATACCCCCAATAAAATGCCATGAATTAATTTTTTTTTTTTTTTTGCAAAATGCTGTTTGCTTATTAAAAAGCTTCAAGAGTAAATGTCAGCTGTAATGTGAAGGATGAGCAGATGAGCAAATGTTCCATAGGCGCTTTGACAAACGGGCCATCTCAGGAGAAGCTGGAGGCAGTTAAGGCCCCTTGTTATTTGCCCTGTGGGTCTTACTTGGCAAATTGGCATAAATCACCAGGATTTTATTTCTATCAAGATGCTGCATCGTACCTTCCTGCTCAAAAGTCCTTAAGTTAAGAACTCTAGCAGAGGCTGGGTAAGTCACATACATGCTAATTTTGTTGCTCCCTAGGCCCATATTACTTAGGTAATCTTGCTTTGCCACAGGCGTACTGACATCATGGCATAAAAAGAGAATTTACAGAAATAAATGTGTATTTACTGAAATGCCACAGTGAATCTATTCGGAACAGCTCACTGGTATTCTTAAAGACCTGCCTTATCACTACACTGCTTGGGCTCCAGAGAAGCCACCACTTGGCCCCATTGTTCTTTCAACCCTCCCAGGAGAAAAAGACCATACAAGTGTCCAACACCCCAGAGATTTCTAGAAGGGCAGCTGGAGGTGAATTAACAAAAAGTCAGACAATTGCTCTGGGGTGTCAAGAATTGTGCCACTTTTAGCCAAACCTTCTGTACACAATTTGAGTCGTGAGATGGCAGAAGTGAAGCTCTTTCTCTGTATTGTGGATCTCCAGAGTAATCCAGAAAGTTGAAAAACAGCAGTGAGTAAACTCTTGTGCTGCCTTAACATCATCCTTGCCTGTGACCTCTCTTAAGGCAGTTGACTTCATTGGCTTCGTTCGTTTTGGTCTGTGGTAGCCAAGAATCCCCACAGCAGAAGGCAATTAATTCAAAAGTGTTAATTTTGTAATGCTGTTATTGGATTAGTTGGGTTTAATTTCCCTGAGGATTTAATACACTTCTCTTCCAAATTGTTCTTCTGCAAACTGCTGATGGAAGTTCCTTTTTTTGTGGTCAGTAGATCCAAACTTTTGTAAAATGGGCAAAGCCAGGGGCAAGTTTTGTTGACCAAGTTCACACTCTGGAAAAAGCAGAAGGCACCATCTGGGTCTCCTGCAAAGTTTTGTTTATGTCTAGTTGTCCTTTTCAGATAGCATGGGCTTTCAGCAGTTCACCAACTTCAGTGCTGCTAGTTAGGGTACTCAGCACATCTGTTAGAGTTTTTTGATTTCAGTCAATATCCAGAGTAGTCCATATGACTAATTGCTCTCCTGTCTCCACACGTTAGGCTTCTAAGTTTGGCGTACAATGAGAGTGATATCATTAATACAGGGCTTGGCTCCTTTCAATCATATTTTTATTTACCTTTGAAAATATTAATAGGTGTAGAGCCATCACCTAACATACACAGTATGAAATCACCATAAATCTTTGATGGTAAACACCCAGCTACTTGGGAGGCAGAGGCAGGAGGATGACAACTTCAAGACCAGCCAGGGAAAGGTAGCAAGAACCTGTCTTAAAAATAAAAAAAGTGCTGGGGCATAGTTCAAGTGGTAGAGCACTTGCCTAGCATGCATGAGTCCCTGAGTTCAATTCCCAGTAACACGCACAAAAAAAGTGGCCTTGCTATGTACATACATATGAGTGAATTAGTTTTTAAACTTTTTCTTCTTTCTCTCTCTCTTCTTCTTTTTTGCAGTACTGGGGCTTGAACTCAGGGCTTTGTACTTGCTAGGCAGGTGCTCTACCACTTGAGCTACTCTGCTGGTTTTAAGAATACAAAAATTAAAAAATTTTTACTGACATTCAAGTATGTACTTTATTTTCTGAGATTTTAGAAGTCTTAAAACTTGCATCTAAGACTCTTTTTTCCAGCTTTGACATTTCTGATCTTTAGTCCCCTCAAATACTGAGTTTCTTATGAGACAGTGCTCTTGGATGTCTTACAAGCATCTCAAGTTCACTATGTTCAAAATGGAGCTTATCTTTTTAGTGTTGGTTTTTCCTTCTGTTTCCCATGTTGATGAATACTGTTGCATCAGTCAGGGTCTAATCAGAAGATAGAAACCATACACTAATTTGATAAGGAATGATTATATAAATTATTATAATGGACAGTTTTAAAGGGATAAAGACTACACTAGGGATGAGGAGGAGTATCCAAAGAAAGAGCAAACTAGCTGGAATTCAGACCATATCAGAGAAAGGTATTGATGGCAGGGAGGTTTTCTGGGTTGCTCAGATCAGAGCTTGTCCACAGTCACAGCAGGAGATACTTTCTGGGGTGCAAGTGAAAAGCTGGGCAAGAAGGAAACTTCTGGGATATTTGTGAATGTCCTGGGAATCTCCCACTGAAACTTGAGGGTGAGCACCACTGTATCCCCCATACGTACCACTAGCCATGTACAAGAGTGCAAAGAAGTAATGGAAGCACACCTGAACCAGGAGGAAAAGTCTTTTTGCTGAAGTGCCCCATCTAGTGCCTTCTACTGAAAAAGCTTAAAATTGTGCCTGCTGCAAAGGAGAAATGCTTACTGGACCCACTTCCATAATCTCAAAGTGTGCACCAAAGAGTAGATTTGTGGCTTAGATGCAATAAATTGATAACTGCATGGTTATTATCATCCATCATTTATGTAAGCCAGAATCCTTTGTGAGATCTTTGATATTCCCTTTTCTCCCACATCCCATTGTAGTTGATGAACAATTGTATTGTTTCTAGTTTTGAGCTATTATGCTTAATAATATCAATATTTTTCAGTATTTACTCTATAGAAAGGGAAACTGAAGTTACTGAGTTACTTTCCTTATAAGTGGCAGGGCCAGGACTGGAACCCAAAAAGTATGGGGACACTTAGCTATTATTCGAGTATGCCCAATAAAGTCTGATCTCCTCTAACTTCCAAGTAGCTCTTAAATTTGCTCACTTTTGTCCACCTCCATTGAAATTACCAAATTTATTATTTTCTCTTGCCTAAACCCTTTTCTTGGTCTTTTCCAATTCTTTCTCAAACAGTGCACTCGGAAAAATTTTTTATAAACCAATACAGTGATGACTTTCTATTTTAATACCTTTCAATAGCTTCCCATTTCCCTCAGAATCACTCAGGGAGCCCATTCTTCATGCTTGCTCCTCTGCTTATTTCTCTGTCATTAACTCTCCAGCAACTCTCTCTCTCCTTTATGACAAACATTGTTTTTCTTTCAGATAGTTGTGTTTTCTCTGCCCTCCAGCCCTCTGCCACTGGCCTCTCTCTTTCAGTATTTGGATCTCAGCTGAGGCATCATATGTTGTGCACCATCTCTCCTGGTTTCCAGCTCCAAGTGACAGCTCAATATTCTCATTGATCATGGTGCTCGTCATTCTGCTTTTCCCGGTCCCTTCCATTGCTCTGTAAACCCTGTGAGGGCAGGATCTTGTCTGTGCAGATCATAGTGGTATTTTCATTGTCTGTTGCAAGAAGCGCAGGAAATTTTATTTCTAAATGAATGAATAAATTTTTCAGTAGTATTGGGAATAGCAGTTGAAACTGAAGTTGTCTTTAATTAATTCTTCCAAAATCTTCTCTTCATTGTGACTTATACATTATTAGAGCTTAAGTTTGTAGCTTGTTCTGAAATTGGAAGGTTTTAACAACCCAATTAAGACTTTTCTAGACTAAGACCTGTATCTGAGTGATCAGGTATAAGAAGGTTGAAGATGAATTTATGCATATTCTACAGTTTTAAAAAATTTTTCCTTTTCTTTGTTTGTAATGCTAGGGATTAAATCCAGGACCTTGCACATGCTAGGCAAGCACTCTTATCAGTGTGCTACATTCCCAACCTGTTTATCAGTAGTTTGGTAAGTTCAGAGTGTTCTGATACATCTTGCTATATTGATGGTAATCAATTGTGTCCAAATCTCAGGAAAGTTGTGAAAAGGGACTGCACAGCCACAGGGAGGACTTCCTGACAATACTTCCACCAGGCAGACTTTGGGACAGAAGTGGGTTCTGATTGCTAATTATCTTTCTGAGCCCATTAGCTGCACCCTAACTTCTGGCAGGCAGTCAGCATGGGAAACATTTTTCTATCAGTGGGAAACCAAGGTGACTTGAGTGTGGAGTTAGGAGTTTGAAGGGCTCTGGTCCCTATGTACTTCTAGTAAAATAGTTAAAATAAGTGGTCGTTTTGTGCCACAGGTGGTAAACTAATTTAAATCTTCGGGCCTGGAGGTGTTGCTCAGTGGTAGAGTGCTTGCCCTGCATGTGTGAGGCTTTGGATTTGATCTGCACCAATCCACGCAAAATAATTAAAAAACCAACTAAATTGTGATGTTGAAGGGGCAGCTCATTTCACACATGGACGCACGCCTCCTGAGGCCACAGTGATGTCTAGCAAAGGGAGGGTTAATTTTAGTGTCCAGAGGAACCTGGTTATAGAACCCTTCTCATCCTCAACCCAGCCATTTCCCTCCAGGCTG